TCAGTCAAACCCACTGGCTAAGGACCACAAGATCGTAGTAGGCGGCTTAAGGCGAACAAATCCATCCTTTCGGGGTCAGATCAAGCCTAAACTTATTTCGCCGGGGAAAAATACTTGCAACAAACGGGAGTAGCAAAATCTCTTGTTTTGTTATGACTAACATTAATAAAATCCTCTCGAATGCTGTACTGGCATCCAGCCATATAGGTCACTGGATTACTCAGCTACGCATATCGTCAGTCTAGTCTGTTTGCTTCGTAAACTAAAGCTTCTGGTGCAGCATAGAAGTTTCAGGCTTTCTGCACTTTCCAGTGATCAGTGAGACTGATCTGCAACCAGGTATTATCATGATGCAGTTTGCCACGTTTGGACTTGCGTTAGTGACTGACATTGCATAAGTAGGACATTAGTCCCTTCAAATTTTACTGTTAACTACATTTGTTTTGTTCATAGTCACGCCACTCTCGTTTGAACGGTCGTCCTCCTGTTCAGGCGTAATTATTCCGGTGAGTCCACACCAAAGGGAAGCACTGAACTCGAGTTTCGCTCTTATTAGGGCTCATCATCAGTGCATATCCAATGGCCGTGCCGGGATTTGAACCCCGGACATCTGGCATGCGAGGCGAGCGCGTAACTTCTACTCCACCAACGCACGTGGGGCGCATCTGAATTATCACGTCTGAACAGGCGAACGTGTTCACGCTTAAGCGATGTGATTGGTGTGCCCGACTCATCGTTGTGCGTTTTACTGTGCTCCTGCACGATGCTGGGCCAACCACCGGCGGATCTACCGGAAGTTTCTGCAAGTTTTCTATGGGAAAGTTTATAGAGAATGTGGCTGCGTTCTTGAAATCGTTGCTGTTTTGACATACTTGCGGCCCACCCATTCGACATCAGTCTTCAGTAATGTGGGGGGGGGGGGGTATATTCCGCGGTCCTTGCGATTTTCATTAACAAAAGCACAGAAGCATGCCAACTTACTCATGCATTTAGCTGATCAGGAAAGAAACCATCTTTTTGATTGCTAAACCCCCAGTATAATAAAGTTTTATCTCTTAGGGTGCGATGATTATGACGTTGCAGGTAGTAAAATTAATTTGACTTCACGGAAAGCTGTCCATCCATCAACCAACCAGGAGTCAATAATCTTGGATTCTGGCTGAATCAGTGGTTGTAACTTCTGTTCCTTCTCATTCGTTTCCATACCAATCTGGGAGACCCAACCCCCATTAGTAAGAAACGGAAAGGGTTTCCGCTTTTGGCTCTAAGTTTCTTTTTCTTTTTAAGCTCCATATCGTTCTACTCAGCCGTGCATAGTACAGTCAGTAAAAGTACAAAAACCCTAATCGGTCATTAGCAAACACTAAAAAAGCAGTTACGAGCTATGGGCAGGAAAATAAACTTCTCATATGCACACCGTTTTTAAAAACTGAACATTCTCACACGTCTTCTTGAAATCTTATGCATATTCATCGGCTATTACGTAATTGCGAACAAATTCCTTTAAGCAGTTTCACAATGCCCGTGATAAATTTCATCTTCCACCGTACGCGGGGCAGAGTTTCTGCACGACTACAAACCACCCACAAGCCTATGCAGTAGTATAGGCCGTTACACCTGTAGCGATCGCGGTTCTTTTTCAGAGCCCAGCACTACCAAACAAGCTGGTTCATATGATAAACCTCTTATGTTGCGCCGAAACTTTGCTCATAAACTTATCCCAAGCGTTTTAAAATTCTTCTTCCAATTTTTGTCCCTACCCAACTCCAAAAACTATCGGTCCATATCCATTTTGTCCGAAGTTGTTGAGTAGGTTTTAGCAGAAAACTCCCCAACGTTGAATACAACGCCATCTTGAGTTATCATCAGTATGAATCAGAATACTACAACTTTAGAGGTTACATGTTGACCTTCCAGTCCGGACTTTCAGTGAATAAATATGGTTGCCTCAAATAGATTGAGAGCGTTTGACGGGTTTTGACATGTGCACATCTTTCACCAAGAATCCGAATTACCTACCGCTTCCCGACTTCTCATTTGGGTGAGAAGCTTCCTTCATGACCCTCTTACACAAATGCAAGTGGACAGCTTTCTCTGCTCAACTCAGGAAGTTACAGTTCTGCAGATTCTTGTTTTTCGATCCCCCAGACCCATCCGTCTCGATCTCAAAACGCGAGCACCTGAGAGGGTGTTGTCATGTTTGTGGCGGGAATTATCCTTTATAATTTGCATTCCTTCGTTCAATTCAGCTGACGATTGTAGCCTTCGTCGAGGCCTCTGTGCGGGTCGACAATCCGTAAAGACTTCCTTAACGATGGGGAGGATGATTTTCCGCTGCAGTTTGCCGGTTATACCACGGAGACTGCTCACCAAAGCTTACATCTTCTGTCTTCATGTCCATATCTTATCAAGGGGTAAGATTTTTTCCCCAACTTCAGTCACCATACCTCATTAAATTCCCTCTCATATTTTCCTTCTTCACTTTTTCAAACTTTCCCATTCCAAATAGTACTGTCCTCAACTTATATTTCATACCAAACCGTCCGAAAATTCTTGCTATTTCATGTTGTTTCCACTGCCCTGTATTGATCTGCACAGGGGGCTTCTCACTCACCATTTGTTTCTACTTTGTCTAAAGTCCAGAGTTGTGCACTAATAAAACAAGGCCGTTTACCAAAAGATTACTACGGTGTTCGTCCAGCGTTTATTCTCATACAGGATTGGCCCGTGATATAGGCACAGGCGTGCATTTATTCTTTGTGATTCGAATTTAATACGGATGTACAGCACTAATGAATCTTCGGCTTGTCCCTTATTGGTATCCGGTCTTGACTGTAATGGTGATTATTCTTCCAGGAGAATATCCAAATAATTTGCTTACTGTATCAGAAACCTCTTGATTTTACTGGGTTTGCTCACACCGCGGTTCTGCACCCACCCTAAGCATGGTTGTGATGGCATGCATTAGTTGCCGTAACGTCCCGGTAGTGACTATTTTACCGGTGGTTACAGTGTCATTGTTATCGGATATCAATAGTTTCATGGGGGCTAGATGACGGTTGTTATAGTAGAATGACGATATAAGTACCTCCGTTGTTCCGTGAGAATTGCCAGGGTTTTGTTTGTTGAACAAACGATCGCTTTCAGATGTAATTTACCAAAAGCTTACTCATTACTGCTTGCGGATTTTCTTGGTCAGGTGCATTGGCACTCTCAAGGTCTTCCTCTGGTATAAGCAGGCAGCTAGGTTTTTTAGCAGGCTATTTCCACCACTAAAACATCTTCCTTTGGCGAATTCCCGTTTTTTTCACAGCAGGCTGCTACATACGAAACCTACATTTTATTCAGTATTGACGGGGCAGTTTCAGTATATACATATATATATATATATAT